CTTAGAGAGAGAGAGGGAGGATGCTTGAACTTAGAGAGAGAGAGGTGGCTTGAGCTTATAGAGAGAGGGAGAGGATGCTTGAGCTTATAGAGAGAGAGAAGATACTTCAAATTGGAGAGAGGGAAGAGAGATGATGCTTTAGCTTAGAGAGAGACGATGCTTTAGCTTAGAGAGAGAGAGAGAGGATGATTGAGCTTGTAGAGAGAGAGTGAGGATGATTGAGCTTGTAGAGAGAGAGAGAGGGGGAGAATGATTGAGCTTATAGAGAGAGATGATGTGGATGCATTGTCGTTTAGAGAGAGAAAGAGTGCATTGGCTTTGACATGTCAGCTAGAAAAGATTAGACAAAGAGAACCCATAAACGTGACAGCATTAATACTCCCAAAAATTATTCTGTTTCTCTCTCTAAAGAGGTCAGGCCGGGCCATATCGGATATGGATGAAGCGAAGGGGGATGAATCTTGAAACACATGGCGGTACCCAGAGAGAAAATCACAGATTCTGGTAGGGGAAAAAGACTTTTTTGGTATTATTATATGTTGGGTTTCTCTCTCTATATATGATTTATGGCGATGCAGGGATAATCATCTGGGGATTAATTATTTTTAATTTATGTGGGGGTTAATTATTTTTAATTTATGTGGGGATTATTTAATTACTTATGTTTAGCTTTAAAAGGTGTTTGATCACATGCATCTAGGGTTTGTTTAATTTGAGCATGCTTGCTTTGTCTTATTCTTCTATATCCTCATCATGATGTTGGGGGGTAACATGGGTTGATCAGGCTGAGTAAATGCTTTGGATCAAAGAAAAAATGTCTTCCTTTTTTTTGGTTTTTTAGTTATTTTTTTTAATTTATATATTTTTTTAATTATTTATTTATTTTTAGGCTTCGATTCTTCCTTTACTCTGGGAGCCTATGTCAATTCCAATGCAAGTTTATAGACAGTTGTTTTGTTCCAATTATTTCTTTATTTTACAGACAGAAAAAGAGAGAGGAGAGAGAGTGGAATGATTCTGAGAGAGATGTAGATAAGAGAGAGAAGAGGACAGAGATGTAGAGAGAGAAGAAGGTGTAGAGAGAGAATCCAGACTTTTTCTGCGTGTCATTTCTTTGTGTACTTGCAAGCCACCTGCACATGTCCTAGATTCCCCATCAAACTCACACATGGACAACTACCTACTACCCTTATTTTTATGTTAAATAGCTAGAATACCCAAATTTGGAATAAGGGATGATTCTGTTGGAGCAATACGAAATTAGTGAACGTCTATGTATTGTTGCATTGTCTCTGGCTTTCATCTCCTACTCAGACTCGTCCGAGTTAGAAGAGATTTGAAGTTGGAAATTCGTGGACAATAGAACTCGAAATCATCCAAAACTCTAGCTTTTCAATCTTTAATATTTTTTTGTATTTTTTGTTTAAATATAAATCCGTCTGACTTGATGCACCTGAATCGAACTAAGGGACTTGACTTCATACCCCCGTTGAGCCACCACCCAATTTCTATATTTTAAGGGAGAAAAAGTTTTTGGATTTAAAATATTTTGCCCCAAAGGTATCTAACAAAGTCTCATTAACTTCATAAAAGAAAAATCACTTACAAATTATCATAACTCTTCTAAATCAAGGGGTCAGCATTTTTTGCCATAGAAATTGGGCAAATAAATGCACATCAGCCCTTTGAATGTTTTCCTTAATACTTAGATAAACAATGCCACTTGCTTTTTATGGAAAGATTCGAAAATCTTTTCTAATTTCTTGTAACATGGGGACGTTAAAGATGTTCTTCCATTATATTATTCATCTTTCATCTAAAGTAAGGTCTCCATTTTAATTTAGGGGCTTTTGGTGTGAGTTGGCGCTATAAACATAAGGAATAATACGAAAACAAAAAATGTGCAAAAAACAAAAATAATTAAAGAAATAAGATTAAATATCCATATTATTCCTCATAGATTTTTGTTGCAGAAAGTATTTTGCAAAATCTTGCCAAAACGGCCTCTCTATTGATTTGGATACCAGGCGAACAACATAGATGTGAAAATAAAATTTGATTTCGAGCCCTAAAAGCGGTCCGCTTTGCAATGTTTTTCCTAGACTATCTGTCTCAAATCCCAATTATTCCAGATCTGCACCATTTTTTAGAGCTCCAAATTTTATAACTAGTGAAAAAAATAGATTTGCAAACTATCATACTATTTCTTCACAACAAACATGAATCAAATCTAGTCTTGAGGCGCCATTGTATACATCTATGACCTTACATAAACCTCACCTTCTTCCCCTTTAGAGCTAGCAATGAGCCGCAATCAGTAGTACTAGCAATAACCCAACTCTAATCCCTGTAGACCGGTCTTATCCCAGCTCAGCCCTAACCGAGCCAAATTCGCCAAGGCAAGGCTTAATACACTAAAAGAAAAAATCGGCCTAAACAGAGCCCTCGCCCTGGCCTGGCCATCGGGGGCCACATTTTGTGGCCCAAACCCTAGTTTTTTAAACGAAACCGAAGCACATGGCCTATACCAACCCCGGCAGCTGGCTCTCGCAATTGGATCTAAAAAACTTAAGCTTGGGCCACAAAATGCAGCCCTAGAGCTAAGCTAGGGCTACGCCACCATTGCCTAAGGGTCAAACCATGCCTGACCTCAGAGCCATAGTCCCTTCATTGCCCAGCCCAAATCCGGACGGGAGGCTCGACCCATTGGCAGCCTTATTTCCCTTACCTTAAATGTTTTTGCACGGGTGGATAAGATAGGACCCATAGCAACTAAGGGTAATTTGGGAAAATAATTTTTTTTAAAAAAAATATAAATTAAAAAAAACAAAAAAATAAAAAAATAGATGGCGACAATATCCAATAGTTGGAATGAATGGGAAATAAACGAGCACGCGTTGTTGCCCCACTAAGGCACAAACCCTAGGATAGTGGAGCCCCCCAAGAAATTAATAAACTAATAAATAATAAAATAAATGCTGATAAGCAATTATAAAATAATAAATAAATAAATACAATCACGTCATGATTATCATGTTCTTCTTCCTCGTAATCGGTATGGAAGATCAAGCCGAGGCGTGACTTTCTTAATAATCATTAACCTAACTAATTTCTCCAATTAATCCGACCCTAAGTTCTCATTAAAAAACACACTAATTAAAGCTCTTTTTAAAATTGTTGAAATTTGGGCACAATTTTCATCTCGCCAATTTTGTTTTTAAATTAGATATGTTTTACGCCGAGCTCTTGCAAGAGCAAACTGCACACTTATTCTCTAGTGTGAAAACACTTTGGAGTAATTTTTTTTCAATCGAAAATACTAGTATCTACTTTAGAATCACAATATTTTAGAAAAGAAATTAACTTTGAGCTATATCAATATTTTAGAGTTCACTATATAAATATTTTAGAAAATAAATTGACCATGAAACAATAAACAGTCAGTCTTATAGTATACAATCCCATTTTTTAAATGCACCTAACTTACCAACTATTTAACATTTTAGTCATTTTCAACTCGTGGTCACGTGTATTTTAATGAAAATTTTGAAATTAAATAAAAGTAAAAGTCCATCAAAATGCACCTAAAAGATGAACTATATAAATTTTTACCCATTTATTTTAATCTAATTTTATGAATCCCATAAAAAACACATGATTATAAGTTAAAATGGTTGAAAATTGGAAAAATATTAAATTGTTGATAAGTTAAATTTATTTTGGTAAATTCCCTAA